TTTTCATCATATGTAACACTGTAGCTGGGCAGTAAGGCACAGTCTCATATGATAGACTCTAAAATTCAGTTTCTTAATTCCTGTTTTATACAAATGAATCTGCCATTAGCACTTGAGGCCAACCACATAATTGCTCTTAATCCACTTTGATCATTCTTACCAGCTCTGAAATCTACATAACCCTCAGGCAAGGAAGCAAGCTAATTCCTATTCCATAAATACAACTGATGAATTATTTGATATACAAAAGATAAAGGCAAGGTTTTAGACTCCTGCTTTGATCTCAGTCCTTTATTGACGTTGCCCAAGGACAGGCATACAGGAACAGGAGGTGTGAACAAGCTTTTTCTGGCTGATTTCTTGCCTGAAAGTTTAAGTTCCCAAACAGTCCCAGGAAATAAGAAAAATCCTGTTTCACTGCTACTTAAACACAGCCACAGCAAAGGGCTAAAGTTACATTGTGTTTTTAAAGAGTAAGAACTTTTGATGAAGCATAAACAACCTATGTTATTCTGGTGACACAGCCTTCATTAAGTGTCCCAGTGTAGGCCAGCAGTATGTGTGATATAGTATCTCATGACTGCTGATTTTCAAACATAATAAAACTAAATTTATAAAATTTAGGATTTATAAATTAAAGTAATAAAATAAGGATGTGACTGTAACACTCTTTGGGGTCATATATATATATATACTTTATACTTGTATTGCAAATATGCATCCTGGTACCTAAATCACTAAGCTATTCAGCCAGCTTATATATAATAACAGTGATATAAACACATCCCTATACTGGATGCTACAATTCATACACCCCAAGTTCTTTTCACCAGCACCAGAGCAGGAATTATGTTAAGAAACAAGGAAGAATGCAAATGTCTCTCTGAAGCAAAATAAAAATTAATTCCCAGATGTATTAACTTAGGTAAGAGATCCACAACATTAAGGAAATAGCTCCTAGTGTACAGTATTCAAAGCCTTAAAATAAAATACAAATAGAAATTCATAAGATCATACATGGATTCACTCTTCCAGTGCCTCTCCAACACAAAGATATTGAGATTCTACTACCTAAACCAAGACAATAAGGGCCTAATCATTCCCAAGGGAAGCACAATGTCTGCCTCTCTAATCCTTCCGCTCTTTCTCAATTGAAAACTGAATCAGAGCCCCTTCCAACAAATCCAATTATTCACCATGGATACCAATATGTACCTATGTACAAAATTATAAACAATTTGGAACCAGTGCAGCCTTTACACACTTTTTGTATAATTTTGATTGGCCTCTAACAGTACCAACCCCATATGTACTTTGGGATTTATATTGTGTCAACACAGATAATAATGCTTTTCAAAGTGATTTTCTGGAAACCTAATTCAGCAGTGCAATTCTAGCAGGAATTTAGGGCACCAGACACTTTACAGTACATCATTAGACAAAGCTCCATAATTTTATTACATTGATTTTAAGGTGCCAAATGTTTTTGTCTTTGTTTCTTTGGATTTTGCCTGATATGTTTACAAATCAATCATGTGGAAAAAGTTATTCTATACACAGCCAAGGAGTCCATGTGCTGACATGGGACAGATGCAATTCTGAATTTATTGCGAGATACCAAGCTTCTAAATTTCCATTCATCTGTAAATCTATGGGCTGCCCCAAGTGAAACCTAACACTGGTGGATCACTTGATGAGATCTATTCCATTGTCTGCCCCATCCATCCTCCATCTTACCTCAGAAGACTATGTTGCTGAAAATAACTTAAGCTTAAATTTTCTCCTTTCCAGTCCCTCTCCAACACAGTGATTGTTTTTAACATCTCATCTGATTAAGGGGAAATGTTTTTGAAAACTTTCATCCTTTTTAATCTCTCTACACACTTTTTGTACATTTTTAGTAATCCTATACTGTGAGATGCAAGACGAGAGCGTAGAGGCTCCCTTTGGGAGTACCGTCCGTCCTTAAGGTTTCCCAGGAGGTTCAAACCATCGTGCTTCCACCACCCCAAGAGACTGTCCATCAGGGAATTGACACCCGAGAACTGGAGGAGAGATTATTAAGAATAACAGTTGCCACACAAACTGAGTGGGAATTGGTAGGAAAAGAAGAATGGAGGAGGTCTGTGGTAGAGGCGGAATGGGAGAAATCAAAGGGGAGAGAGACCCATCCCGGGGGGCGGGGTTGGGAGCTCATCTGGGTGATGGGAGAAATCAAAGGGGAGAGAGACCCAATCCCAGGGGGGCGGGCTGGGAGCTCATCTGGGTGGAAGATCCTTAGATGGGCAGATGGGAAAAGGTGAAGATGCCCCGCGAGGAGGCTAACTATTGCCGGAGGAAAGGACTACCCCAAAGACCATCATACAGCACTGGGGTGAGTCTGCGGCCCGGGAGTGGTGACGATGTCTGAAGGAAGAGAAGGAGGTGATAGAGAGGGAAGCGGAGGAATGCCGGGTATGGCGTGCGGAGGAAGTCTGGAGGAGGGAATACCTCCGGAACCTTGGGCACCCTTTGAGAGAGAAGGGGAACCCTTATGGAGGGAGACCAGAGATGAGGAGATCCTACCGTTACTAGGAACTGAAGAAAGGGAGCTCCCTAATGAAGACAGTGACCCCTTCTTGCCCGGGCCATGGGAGAACAAATCATTGAACTCCTTTGATCCAGATGTTTGGTTGCCCTTGCGTTGCCTGTTGGTGACAAGAGAGAAGTTACAGGATGAACAGTTGAACAACGGTTTACGGTTAAATGACTCAATAAACCCAAGTTTTGATTTAACTTTAAAAATCACTTCTGCTTTATTTGAAAAAGAGAAAGAGGCTCTATACGAACCCTCACATATGCAAGTCATCACTTCAGGATGAAGTTTGCAATTTGCATAGGGATGATAGGAAGAGAAGCATCATGGGTTTCCTACTCTGCCCTGTTGTTGACCTTTCTTCAATCTAGATAGATATTCTCAGGATTGCTAACCTCATAAGAACATAAGATGAGCCCTGCTGGATCAGGCCACGGGCCCATGTAGTCCAGCTTCCTGTATCTCACAGTGGCCCCACCAGATGCCTCTCCGAGCACATGAGAAAACTAGATACCTGTCTCCTGATAACCCTCCCCTGCACCTGGCATTTTGAGGTACCTTCCTTTGAATCCTGGAGAGCATATATCTCCATCATGGTTTGTAACCTGCAATAGACTTTTTCTCCAGGAATCTGTCCAATCCCCCTTTTAAAGGCATCTAGGCCAGATGCCATCACCACGTCCTGTGGCAAGGAGTTCCACAGACTGAGAACATGCTGGGTAAAGATATACCGGTACTTTCTTTTGTCTGTTGTTACTCTCTCAACACTCAGTTGGGGTGGATTTCCCCTGGTTCTGGTATTGCATGAGAGGGAAAAGAGATTCCCTCTATCCTCTTTATCCATCCCCTGCACAATTTTATATGTCTCAGTTATGTCCCCCCTCAGGCACCTTTTCTCTAGACTAAAAAGCCCCAAATGCTGTAGCCTATCATCAGAAGGGAGGTGCCCCAGCCCAGTCATCATTTTAGTCACTCTCTTCTGCACCTTTTCCAATTCCACTATATCTTTTTTGAGGCACCTCATGTCCTCTCCTCTTTTCATTGCCTTCTTGACCTTGTCTTGCTAAGGTTCTTTTTGGAATGTAATGAAAATGAACACATACATGTAGAAAAAGACAAAAAAACTTTATTGAAATTTGGAAAGGCACCAATGTAACAAAAGTTGAAGCCTGTAGTAGGAAAAGAGGAAGAACAAATAAGAGGTTTATTGACTCAAACAAAGTCATGGCCTTGAGGGCAAGCACAGGACCTTCTGGAGGTCACTCATTTGTGGGGGTCACGGTAAGATGGAAATAATTTCACATTACATAATAACAACAAATCCCCATGGACTTTAAGTAGACATGTATGGGATGGTACTGTCAGCTGCTTAATTATGCCAGTATAAGAAGACACTGTGGGCTAAACCGCAGAAGCCTGTGTTGCAGGATCAGAAGACCAGCAGTTGTAAGATCAAATCCACATGACGGAGTGAGCTCCCGTCGCTTTGTCCCAGCTCCTCGCCAACCTAACAGTTTGAAAGCATGTAAATGCGAGTAGATAAATAGGTACCACCTCGGTGGGAAGGTAACAGCGTTCAGTGTCTAGTCGTGCTGGCCATGTGACAATGGAAACTGTCTTCAGACAAACGCTGGCTCTATGGCTTGAAAAGGGGATGAGCACCGCCCCCTAGAGTCCGACACAACTGGACTAAAAATGTCAAGGGGAACCTTTATCTTTTACCTAAATTTACAAGACAAATCTCTTGATAATCTGATAGACTGGCCATCAAGAAGGGTATCTGTTTAAGTATTTTTATTATTGTTATTTTATTAGTCTAATTTTTCATGCTCACAATTAACATGAGAATTGTAATTTCTTAGGATCATAGAATGCTTTGCATCCCATTGAAGTATATAAGATAAATGAGATATTATTAGATTACCCACACAGATATTAATTTTATTCAAACACGTTATCTACTGCACTCTAAAGGCGGGGGGAGACGGGAAGACGGAGCCCCACTCTCTGCTGGAGGTTGTCAAGACCACACGTTCCCGGGGTGTGCGTGAAGACCTCTTGCTGAATAAGAGGTAGAAAAAGCGCTTGCCTCAGAAACTACTAATACTGTACAGTTAATTTTCATGGTATTTGCACGGGCAGAGCAATTGTTCAAACTGTTTAAAAACTTCTTTAAAATTCATCACATCTTCCATAAAAACGTACAAAAAAGCGTAACAAATTAGCATTCGTAAAAGGAAAAGGTCCTGTTCTGCCCGATGTGTTTTTTTTTTCCGGTCACATTTGACCGCGGAGATGAAAAAGTGAAGCGTACCCGAATCGTCCCTTCTTCAGAAACAAGAGTATGACTCTCTTATTTTCTATCCCTTCTTCAGAAACAAGAGTATGACTCTCTTATTTTCTATCTCTGCCTCGCCTCATGATGGTCGCGGCGCGCGTGTTGCTTTACGACTCGGGCTCTCGGCCGTCGCAAAAGCGCCCTCATGGCGGCCGCGCCGCCGACGTACCCTCGTTGGGCGCTTTACCTGGCCCAGGGTCAGAAGATCCCGTACAAGCGGCACTGGGTCCGGTGTACTCATCCTCTGGCGCTGGCCGATAAGATTCGGCGCCCTCCCCAGTACTCGCAGGGTAGGTGGGGGACAGCGGGTTGCGCCAAGGACCGCGGCTCTCAGCACAGGCGCTTTTGGCTCCTGCAGTGTTTTCCTCCCAAGACCCGACAGCGGGCTAGCCTGGGGTACAGTATATGAGCAGAAGGGCACCGGCCAACAACGGGTAACCGCTGAGGTCTTGCTGCTTAAGCCTCAGCTAGAGTTAGGCCCCTTTGACGCTCTAAGTAGGCGGACTCTCGTTGCAGTTTACTTCAGTAAGTAGCAAGTTACAATTGCAATAAAATCAATGCAGGTTTATGGAGGAAACTGACTGCATAACTTGTAGAAAAGCACTTATTTCCGAAGTGGTGCAGTTAATTATCATGGTGTTTTCCTGGGCAGAACCTCATTGAATCGACCGGCCTCCTGTAAAGTGGATTTATTTTACTATTTAAAGCAAAGTATGCTGTTTATATACCGCCCCATAGTGCTTAAAGTACTTCCTTGGAGGTTTACAATTTAATTTTGCATTCCACCCCCCTCCCCAGCTGGGTACTCAGTTTATCAACCTGGGAAGGATGGAAGGCTGAGTCAACCTTGAGCCGACTACCTGGGGTTGAATCCTGGGTTGTGAGCAGAGTTTTGGCTGCAGTACTGCAGGTGAACCACTTCGCCAGGAGGCTCCTACCATCCATTTTTTTTAAAAAAGTTTAAATTGTGGCAGCACCTGCCCTTAGTCTTTTTCACTAGAATTGCCACGGATTGAACCTGCATGTGTATGATTTATTACTAAGCATATGTTTAGACAGAAAAATTGCAAATAGTGAGACCAACAGGTTATGAAACTTAAGAGGCAACATCTTGCTTTATATATTATGTATTTATTGCTTCTTTAAAATATAAATGTATTTGTTAACTGAGTGCAACACTCAGTGTATCTCACAAAGTGGGTGTTAACCCGTGAATATGTTTGCACCAAATAAATCTGACAATGTTGAATGCTCATGTTTTTCCTACAACATTCTAGTTTGCCTACTGCTTCCCTAATTGGTTGGATACAGCATAATTGCCTTTGAAGGGGGGGGAGGCAGGGATGTGGCTTGTTGGCCAGTTATATATGTGTCTCATGTTCAGTCTGCAGACTATCTATTTGCATCTCTCCATTTTGTTCTGTCATATTAAATTATGGTCAGGTTGGTAACCATGCTACCTACTTACTTACTTAAAATATTTCTACCCTGCCTTTCATCTAAAAAAAGGATCCAAGACAGCTTGTTTCATTAAAAACATATTAAAAGCTAATTAAATATTTTAAGAATTAAATAAACATTATTTAATGTTAGTGAAAAACATTAATAAAACAGATTTAAGAGTTAAAAATACAAACTATTCCATTTAAAAATCACTCTTTGTGATTACATTGCAGTAAATACATAGTGATTTACAAGTAGCCACTAACTAGAGTCTTGAAACTGCTTAAAATTGTTTCACTCCAGTGGGAAACGTTATGCAGCCATGTTCCATGTGTTGCACTGTTTTCCCACCTGAGTAACAGAGATGGCAAATAAGAAATGCATTGCTGTTTTGTAAGTATATTAGTGTCACATATAACATTTTAAAGATTAAACCCTCACAGTTTTAGAGGATATAAGAGAGAGCCATGTGATCTAGTCTTGCCATCTCTCATGACCACATATTCACACAAGCAGAAGCTCTGCATGTTTATTGATCTATCTGCATGAAGTTCATCCATTCAGTAGAAGATTCTTATAGACTCAGAATAGTGTCTTATTGATTTGAGAAGACCTATACAGTATAAACAGGCCGACTGAACATGGCTGTTAATCATGGGTGTCAGCCTTATCCCTTCAATACATAACTAGTGTGCTTTTGAATTCCTTCAAATGCTATTAGAAACCTAGTAGTGCAACTAGTTGGCTATTTGGAAGTGATAATGGACTAAATTAGATTGCCTAAAGTTTTCCTGTAAAACAAGTGATTGTCATGAATACCATCTCTTGTACATACATGTCTTAATGGTTGCTGTGTGCATGCATTGATTGGCTGAGAACTGTGTTCCTCTGAGCTTTCAGAATATAGCTGTCAGATTGCAAATATTTTCTTTTATAGTGGTATTCTATATTTTATTTCTCTCTCCCCTCCTTTTTTTGAAGACTTCAATGGTTGATTATTTTAAGATATTATTTGGTAGTAGGTATCCTAAAAGTGCAGTGTCACATTTAATAAATACAGTAATTGTATTGCTAGCGATCTATTTTTTAATGAACAAATACTGATAACTATGTTTTTAACAGTAAAATCCTATGCATAAAAGTTTTATTTTGTGATTATCTTTCATTTAGGCAAATAGAGATTGATCAGTTGACAGGAGTTCCACTGAGTGCAGTGGGGCTTACTCCCAGATAACTGTGCATGCAATTGCACCCAAATTGTTTGCTGACAGTTATATTATGCTTACACATAAACATTGCATTCATCTGCAATATATATTGACCACATGCCATTAACTGAAACTAGATCCAAGTTTGCAATAATACTTCCATTGCAGCCTCCATTGTTTAAAACAGACATGTGTATATACATGCACAAGCATGAAAACAGATAAAATGTGAATGTTTGGTTGAATCATTTTGCTTGTACAGGGCTCTTGAGGACAGCAAACCATGTCTGTGGCCAAAAGCCAGAGAGAGTGAATTTCACAACTGGAACACTATAAAACATGCCAGTCGTTCCCTCCGTATTCATAAAACACCAGCAATAGAAAAAGCCGTAGGTTGAATGTTCTCTCTAGCTAGTAGTAGTAAACAAGTCTCAGAACACCTTCCTGTCCTATTTTCTTTTTATGCCGCTCCCTATTTCACTTAACAGTTATGTGATTGATTCATACCTATTAAACTAACTATAGATTCCTGTTTTTTACAGAACCAGAATGTCTCACAGAGATATCATTAATAATGGCCTGTTGGAAGCAGAATGAGTTCAGTGACATAGCTTGTGCCGAGGAGATCCAGACATTCTTACGCTGCTCATCAGAGTCAGAGGTAATTTTGACTTAAGTCACCTTCTTGTACAGCTCCCATGGACCCAAATCTAGCCCCTAGACCCTGAATGTTTTGAAACATTCTATCTCATAAAGTCCTCTTTTGCCCTTTATAGGTCCTGGGATGCAATCCTGCCATGTTTTGAGTGTCATTTGGAGACCTCCTCATCATGTATATATACACGTATATGTATACATATATGTATATGTGGCCACTAGAGAATCCAAATGTGCTTTCTGGGAGGAAGGATATTTTGCGAAAAAAATTGGGAGTTGTGGGAGCTGCAGGGACACTCCTCCACAGTCAGGGAATGGGCATGTGTAGCCTCTGGGCCTTTACAGATTGCCCATCTCTGCTTTCAGCTGTTAGAAAATAGTTTTCATAATTGAATAATGTGATGCCAGTAAAAGTCACCATTCATTGTTATATAGTGTTTTTTAGAACACAGGAGTGAGTCTTCATACAGATTGCCCATCTCTGCTTTCAGCTGTGAGAAAATAGTTTTCATAGATAATTGAATAATGTGATGCTAGTAAAAGTCACCATTCATCCTTATATAGCGTTTTTTAGAACACAGGAGTGAGTCTTCGTATCTTACTGCACTGTAACTGCTGTCCTCATGATAGCAGTTGTTTTTTAGTTGTTAAGTCATGTCCGACTCTTCGTGACCTCATGGACCAGAGCACGCCAGGCCCTCCAATCTTCCAATACCTCCCGGAGTTGGGTCAAATTCATGTTGGTAGCTTCAGTGACACTGTCCAACCATCTCGTCCTCTAACGTCCCCTTCTCTTGCCTTCACACTTTCCCAACATCAGGGGCTTTTCCAGGGAGTCTTCATTTCTCATGAGATGACGAAAGTACTGGCGCCTCAGCTTCAGGATCTGTCTTTCCAGTGAGCACTCAGGGTTGATTTCCTTCAAAATGGATAGGTTTGTTCTCTTTGCAGTTCAGGGGACTCTCAAGAGTCTCTTTCAGCACCACAATTCAAAAGCATCAATTTTTCAGCTGTTGGCCTTCTTTATGGTCCAGCTCTCACTTCCATACATTGCTACTGGAAAAACCATAGCTTTGACTATGCAGACCTTTGTTGGCACGGTGATGTCTCTGCTTTTTAAGATAGGTTTGTCATCGTTTGTCTAGGTTTGTCATCGCTTTCTTCCCAAGAAGCAGGCGTCTTTTAATTTAGTGGCTGCTGTTACCATCTGCAGTGATCATGGGGCCCAAAGAAAGTAAAATCTGTCACTGCCTCCATATCTTCCCCTTCTATTTGCCAGGAGGTGATGGGACCAGTGGCCATGATCTTGGTTTGTTTGATGTTGAGCTTCAGACCATTTTTTCACTCTCCTCTTTCACCCTCATTACAAGGTTCTTTAGTTCCTCCTCACTTTCTGCCATCAGATTGGTATCATCTGCATATGGGAGGCATATCCGGCAATCTTAATTCCGGCTTGGGATTCCTCCAGTCCAGCCTTCCGCATGATGTATTCTGCATATAAGTTAAATAAGCCGGGGGACAATATACAGCCTTGTCGTACTCTTTTCCCAATTTTGAACCAATCAGTTGTTCTATATCCAGTTCTAACCGTTGCTTCCTGTCCCACATATAGGTTTCTCAGGAGATAGATAAGGTGGTCAGGCACTCCCGTTTCTTTAAGAACTTGCCATAGTTTGTTATGGTCCACACAGTCAAAGGCTTTTGTGTAGTCAATGAAGCAAAGTAGATGTTTTTCTGGAACTTTCTGGCTTTCTCCATAATCCAGTGCATGTTAGCAGTTTGGTCTCTAATTCCTCTGCCCCTTCGAAATCCAGCTTGTACTTCTGGGAGTTCTTGGTCTACATACTGCTGAAACCTACCTTGGAGGATTTTGAGCATCACCTTGCTAGCATGTGAAATGAGTGCAATTGTACGGTAGTTGGAGCATTCTTTGGCACTGCCCTTCTTTGGGATTGGGATGTAGACTGATCTTTTCCAATCCTCTGGCCACTGCAGAGTTTTCCAAACTTGCTGGCATATTGAGTGTAGCACCTTAACAGCATCATCTTTTAAATAGTTCAACTAGAGTGCCGTCACCTCCACTGGCCTTGTTGTTAGCCATGCTTTCTAAGGCCCACTTGACTTCACTCTCCAGGATGTCTGGCTCAAGGTCAGCAACCACACTATCTGGGTTGTCCGGGACATCCAGATCTTTCTGGTATAATTCCTCTGTATATTCTTGCCACCTCTTCTTGATGTCTTCTGCTTCTGTGAGGTCCCTACCGTTTTTGTCCTTTATCATGTCCATCTTTGCACAAAGGGTTCCTTTAATATCTCCAATTTTCTTGAAGTGATCTCTAGTTTTTCCCTTTCAGTTCTTTTCCTCTATATCTTTGCACTGTTCATTTCAGAAGGCCCCTTTGTCTCTCCTTGCTCTCCAGCTTACCAAGATTCATAGATCTTACATTCCAGGTTCCTATGCAGTATTTTTCTTTGCAGCATTGGACTTTTCTTTCACTTCCAGGCACGTCCACAGCTGAGCATCCTTTCGGCTTTGGCCCAACCACTTCCTTAGCTCTGGAGCTACTCGCTCTTGTCCTCCGCTCTTCCTCAGTAGCATGTTGGATGCCTTCCGACCTGAGGGGCTCATCTTCCAGTGTCATATCTTGTAGCCTTTTGTTTCTGTTCATGGGGTTTTCTTGGCAAAGATACTGGAGTGGCTTGCCAGTTCCTGCTCCAGCTGGATCGCATTTAGTCAGAACTCTCCACTATGACCTGTCCGTCTTGGGTGTCCCTGCACGGCATAGCCCATAGCTTCTCTGAGTTACTCAAGCTTCTTCGCCATGACAAGGCAGCAATCAGTGAAGGGTCATGATAGCAGTAGTACATGATAAATAGTGATCACATGCCATTTGGCCAGATTACATATGATTTAAAAAACAACAGAGTCCTGTGGCACATTTAAGGTTAACATGTTTTATTTGGCATACTCTTTCATGGACTGTAGCCCGTATTTTCAGAGGTATGGATTGTGGCCTTAGTAAACAGGTAGTGGAGATGATGAAAGGTGGATGTAGTAGAAATGCAATTTGATTGTCAATCAGTGGTCATAAAGAGTTATTGACAATCCCTGGGGACATACATTGTTTTATTAACTCTCTGTAAATAGTTATTGTAATCCACATTTAACCCAAGTTCCTATACCTGAACAGAGCTACCACAGACAGATTTGTGTTGCTGGCTGGTTTCCAGTCTCATTTAAACACCTGCATTGCATTTTGGAAGCTTTTGTATAGCTGTGTGTTCAAATGGAGGGGAACTCTAGACTGCAGTAATGCCTTCCAAAGGGGATTGTGACCTAATGCATATAATCTAATTAGGGTAGGGGTCACAACATTTACTCTCTAATACATAGTTACATACCGTGGGGAAGGGAACAGAAAATTGTCTTCCAAATTTCCCAGGAGTGGTATTTGTAAGGGTGAGGAAGAGTGCATGCAAGCAAGAAAGGTTCACATCAGTGAGTTTGTTTTGCAAAATTGGGGGAATGTTTCTCTTTGAAAAGAAAAGGTTCCATTGGGGCTGATGCAGATTTTGCATTAAAAATCTCTGCACCATCAGATTTAATCTGCAAAGTAAATAATTTCCGAGGATAAGCTTGTGTAAGCAAAGGATCTTAAGCATCCAGGAGGAAATTGATCACTCAGCAAAGTAAGACATACTTATAATCATAGGTTATTGGAATGCAAAAGTAGGGAACAAAGCTGTCGTGAACCTCGTGTCCCTTGTTTATTATTCCTTCACAAAGGCCCACGGGCGCGTTTCCCTTTATGCTGCCACCAGTGGATTATCTGAATCCACAATACCATTAACGTATAACTGGACACTTGTCTTGTGAACAAACAAAACTTATTTACTGAAGTGAAACAGTATTTCAGACAGTATTAGAAATCTTTGAGTTAATCAAAGTTAATCGGCCTTAGCTTATCAGTTCCCTCATTACTTTGTTTCTCTTTGTTTTACAGTTTCATAAAGACATCACCAACCTATCTCTTTCTAGCCAGTTCTTTTTATCTCCTCATCAGTTCCCTAACTCATCCCTATCTGACTGCTCCTCCTTCAGCCAAACCTCATATATCAATTGACTCCTGCTCTCTTGTAGGCTCATGCAAATAAGCTATTGAGTGTGAATGGCAGGAGTGATAGGGCCAATCACCACAAAAGCACAACCAAATTTTGCTGGAAATTTTGTCCTATAGAAGAAGTGAAGCAGCAGAATGACTCATGGAGTTCTGCGAAGCCAACAATCTGTTTATTGCAAATATCTGCTTCAAACAACTGATTGAACAGCTGTGCATATGGACATCACCAGATGGTCGATACAGAAATCAAATAGGCTATGTAAATAGAAGCAGGTAATAGACAAGCTTTATTCTGTCAATCAGAACAAGACCAGGAGCAGATTGTGGTACTGATCATGAACTGTTAATATCCAACATTAGAGTAAAGCAAAAAAAAAAAAAAAAAGATTTTCTGGAAAACACAGTATTGGTGGGGAAGGTTGAAGACAACAAGAAAAGAGAAAGACTAAATATGAGACGGACTGATTCCGTGAATGAAGCTGCAGGCTTGAGTTTGGGGGAACTGAGCAGGACTGTTGAGGACAGGACATGTTGATGATTGCTCATTCATAGGTCACTGTAAGTCAGAGGCAACTTGACGGCACATAACAACAAATTTGTAGGACTTTGTTTGGAGCTCAGATAGTTAATGCACATGTTATTTTAACATAATTGAAATAATAATTATGTCTTGGTAAGTTGATTCTGATTAACAACGACCCTCCCAGAGTTTTCTAAGTACTGTATAAAACGGTTTACCAGCCCATTCTTCTCTTCTGGATCCATGCAGCTTTCTCTAGGCTGCACAGGTGGCAGAGCACGGTAGCCCCAGGAGCTCCACACGTTCCAGTTGATCCTGGCTGGACCTTCTTGTGGGGTGGCACAGTAGGGATTCAGACTCACAGCCCCAGCAATATTTTTGTAATTAGCTCAAGTTTATTCCTCTATGAAATAATTTAATTACTGTAAATAATTACAGTACTTATAGCTACCAGTGCCCCAACATTTAAATACACATGAACAGTATTCAAGGAATTGAATAGTTCTGCTTAGACTTTATCAAGGAACCCTAGAAAGATAGACCAAATAGTTTATAAGCTTTCCTTAAAATCAAATAAAGTACATAATACAAATTCAAAGCCCAAGTCAGTAACACTGAATATTAGTAAAATTACATTAAAGAGCAAGGAGTTTAAAATTACATTAAAAATACAAGGAGTAAAATTACATTAAAGAACAGGGAGCTGAATGGCTTTTTCTGTTGCCCATGGAAAAGGAGAGTTTCCATCCATACAAGAGCACTTTTTTCCCCCTTTGCCGATACTTGGCTACAACCAGATAATAGTGTACTAGTGTCCCAGGCTTGTTGAAGACCTCTGGTGGGAAGGGTTAAGTTTGGTTTCCTACTTATATTTACTCCTCATTCTTGTTGCATAAAATTGACTATTCAGAATATCTCTCATGTGATTGAGTCATAAATTATGGCTATGAAAATATGTGGGAAAAGAAACATCTTTGAAACAGCAAGAAATTGTCTGAATGGTGGATCATACAATATATATTTTATCCTTGCTACTGTTTTCCTGAAGGTGCCATGATGACCTACCACTTTAGCTGCATCAAAAAAACATTGTTTATATATAGTACACACACTTCCCAGTTCTGCTTCTACATCTTCTGTTTTGTCTGTTACACCTATTCTGAGAAAAATATGATCCTCTCTCCTTGTGTGGAAGAAACATATCACCGGAAACTGACTAGACACAAAATGTAACCAAGTATTTTTAAATGATGTCTGAGGCATATGCTGTCCTTCTGTTTCTGGGAATAGGTAGTAAAAGTCCACCTCCTCTGACTTTGCCATTGCAATGATAATTCTGGTTATTTTTAACTTTTAAAATAATGAGCAGTTGCTGCCTTTGACTATAGCAACTCAGTTTCCATAGCTGTCTCTTTGTTTAGAAGTTGATGACTGTAGCATTCAAAATATTGCTGGTATTTGCACATCTTCTTAACTAATGTAGAAAATTATTTCTGTTTCTTTCAGGCCAGGCGCAAGGAGAGAATGAAAAGAGAAGCTATGGGCCAGACAGGCCATTTTAATTTACAAGAAGTCAATCAAATACTAAAGGAATTTCCCAATATTAAAAAGTTCAGTTAAAGAAGTTCGCTTTCCCACATGCGTGGCTATCAGAAGCTGAGATTGGGCCAATATTTAAACATACTCCTTACTACTTTGTTTTTGAAGCTGAAGAAGAATGTTCTACTACAATTTATAGGGGTTTATGACTAAAAACCCATCTGTTCGGTAAAGTGAAAATCTTAAGTACACTCTGTTATGAAGCTCCTTTGAGCTGAAGAATGATTGTGTGAAATGTTGCTCTGTGAGTTGCATTTGTAATCAACTGTAAAATAAAGTCTCCCGGAGTAACCTACAGCATTTGTGTCTAGTGCTAAGGCATATAAAGTGCATTGGGATGTTCCAACGTATTTAGAGGGCAAACCATTGAACTGAAAGTGTTTAAACAACAGCTTTGGCCTTCCTGCTATTTATATGAAAAGGAGTGTTGTGTGGTCTTCTTCCTCGTTGTAGAAAGCAGTCAGTACTTGAATGCAGGTCAAACATTCATAATGTGACATAATATAGGCACCTTTTCTTGAACAATCTCTTTTGGGCAATAAAAGAAAAGAAAATTGTTTGCCACATCACACAGAGATGCCACTCTAAAGGCACAATCCATTGTTTCTAGGAGAGACTTCAAGAAGCCACAGAACTTTTCACTTCTCTGAGGGCAGAGGAAGAGAGAAGTCTGTCCTACGAGAGAGAAATATTTCTTCATATGTTTCTTGACAGCAGCTGTGGAAAGATGTATGACCAGTGGCTTGTTGCAATTGCAACATCAGAAAGGGTAAAAAGGGAGGCAAGCCAAAGGCAGGTTAGGGGAGAGTGTAGATCTGCATGGGTTTCTCTTATTTAGAAAAATGGGAGGGATGTTCAGAAACAAATGACCATAAAAGGTAAAGGAAAACAAGAAAAAAGTGAGGCTTGTATCCTCATGTGTCTGACAACTCTAATTTTTTTTGCCTTGCACCTGGTTAATCAGCTGTTGCCCTTCCAAGGAACTTAGCAGATTTTTTGTCTTTCTGAGGCAGAAATCTGGAGGTTATTGAATGCCTAAATACCCATGAGCTCTAACAACTTTGAGGTAAAAGCTAGGCAAGAGGCTGCTCTCAATCACATGGTCACATCTTATGGCTGAGATAAGTGATCTGTACAAGACAGGAGTCACACTATTGAGATGTTACAGTTCCTGTTTATTTTCAAAACGCTTCTTCCCTGAAGATGAGTTCTGACTTCACCCAAACCCTAACAGAATCTCTTCTGAGCTGTTTCCATGGCTAATAAAAAGAACACGGAGCTTCTGCCCTCATATTGATATGGACCTGATGCACAAATATAGATTTTTTAATAGCAGCGGTCTCCAAACTATGGCCCATGGGCCACATCCGGCCCACCTTGCCATTTTACCTGGTTTGTTCCTTTCCGCCCATGGGTGGCCAGGTGAGCATCCATTCATTGGGGTGGGAAGGTGGGTGTGTTCTGTGGGCAGGCGGTACATGTGTGCAGCTACATGTACATGCGCACAAATTCCCATTCCTTTGGCTCTCAAAAATTATGAAAATATCCAGTGTAGCCCTCACGATCAAAAGTTTGGAAACCCCTGTTCTATATGGATGTGCAAAAATATTTCTTTGTTTGTTGAGCACTTGCATAACAACACAACATGCTATTAAAAGTAATAGTTTGTATCATATTATGTCAGGAAACTTAAATCTCTTAGATTCACCAACCAGGCCCCCGAAACACAAGAAAAACAGCATTGTTTCAGCAGGTGTGCCCAAACCTTTATTTTTGTAGTGTATGAGCAGTCTATAGAGCCTGTGTCCTGAGTACACTCCTGTACTGCAATGAGTCCTGGACCCTTTGTGCACGGGAGGAGAGGAAGCTGAACATGTTCCATATGTGTTGCCTCTAACACATTTTTGGTATCACCTGGCAGGCCAATGTGCCAAATAGAGTAGTCCTAGAACGAGCTGGAATTTTTAGTATGTATACATTACTGAAACATCAATGTCTACGTACATTGGCTTGGGCATGTTGTGAGAACAGCTGATGGTTGGATTCCAAAAGATCTCCTGTATAGAGAATTAGTGCAGGGAAATTGCCCCAGAGAGTGACCACAGCTGCGATACAAGGATATTTGCAAGCGGGATCTGAAGGCCTCAGGAATGGATCTTAACAGATGGGAAACCTTGGTGCATCATGGCCTCTCTCATTTTGAAGAGACACTTGTCCAGCAGGCCGAGGCAAATAGGCAATCCCAAAACTAGCAAAATTAGGGAAATGGACAGGGGAGAAATTTTATTTGTCTTCAGTGTGGAAGGGATTGTCACTCTCGAATTTGCCGCCTTAGCCACACTAGACACTGTTCCAAGTCCTCTATTCAGAGCATGTTACCATAGTCTCTCGAGACTGAAGGATATCTAACCTAATCTAATGAGCAGATTTAAACAAAGAAATGAATGTCAGATAAATTACATTCTGTAAAGGAATGAACAAAAAAACAAAAAAAAAAAACAAAACCAAGATCCCCATATTGTGTTAGCTCTCCCAAGGGAGCATATAAGTAAGTGATCACCCAAATACCTAAGTTCTCTTCTTCCTTTTCTTCACAAGGGCCTACAAAATTTATTTCTGTTCCAATTCTTCCCCCTTTCCTCCCTGCATCACTTCCGACAGCACACAGTCAAGACAGCTCTCTGCTAATTAAATGTTTGCAATTCGTTGGCCAGACATTGCAGTAGGAAACACCCAAGAGAGACCACTCCCTCCCATTCCCGGAAGTTAATTCATTACTTAATATTCTTGCATGAAATTCAGTAACAGCGGCTGCATAAGCACAATGACAGAACAAGGTGGAGTACTACTAAGAATCAAGAAATCGGAAGCATTTGTCAATCTGCACATGTATAGACAAAGTTTGGCATCCGTTCAGACAAAAAGGTCACTGGTTTTCTGAAAGGAAATATATATTCCTGTTGTTAGATAATTTCAATTTATGTGTATATATATATTTTTAATGTCCGTTTAGTTAATGGTAGAGAGAAGAGGCAGGGATTTCATTATTCTTGTCATTTTAATTTGCTGGCCATGTTTTCTTCAGCAGTGGGGTTTCAATGTCATAGATTTTTGACAGAAAATAGCAGAACCCAACCTGATGCTATTATCATCTACACAAAGTGCATATATGTCTGAGGCTGGATATGGTACTTTGTGCATCCAGGAAAATGTAGTCCGCAGAAGCTGGTGCTAAAATAAGTCTGTCAGTCTTCAAAATGCAACAAACCTTTTTCTGTTTTTTAGTTATGCTGGAAACAGAGAACCGGCACATCCACTAGTGGCAGAATTCCAAATGAGAGACTGGGTCTCAGGATGTAAACAAGATGTGATAAACTTTATTCTTGTTTCAAAAGCTTGACGCATTTCAGCGAATGGTCTTCTTCAGGAACTTAAACTTAAAAATAGAAATAAATTAGTCTAAACAGCAAGCAACAGACAACTACAAATAATATAGTATTAGTGAATATGTATGCAATATGATCCTCTAATATGGATTAAAGGCAACATTTTTGATACATACCAAGTGATTGATTGGCAGCTGTGTCAAGGACAGTTAGACCATCAGCAAGACAGTAGGGGCAGTGCGAAAGTAAGAGCAAGAAATCTCTTCATGAAGCCCCAAAGGGGCTTCATATCCAGCTGTATACTGTATAAATGCATACATTACTCCTCCTCCAGAATTTGTTCTTATGATTATCAATCAGAATTGAGACAGACAAAATGAGCTGACATTTTAAAAGCATGCTGTTTATAGACTAATTTATTTCTATTTTATGTTAAGCTCCAGAAGAAGGCTATTCACCAAAATGTCTCAAGCTTGTAAAACAAGAATAAAGTTTTATCATGTCCTTTTAGTTATGCTGAAGCAGATCAACATAGCCGCCTCCTTGAATAGCTTTGTCTGATGGAGACACAGGAGAGAGCCTTCTCTGTTGCTGCTCCCAGACTTTGGAACTCCCTCCCACAATAGGTCAGATTGGCCCCATCTTTGCTGTTCTTCTGCAAGCAGTCAAAGACCTTGCCTCTTCAGGCAAGCTTTCTCTCAGTGACTGGCTCCCTGCGTGACTTTTGGATGAATTGTTATGTTACGCATGACTGCTGTGACTGGGTCTTTAGTACTACTTGTGTTTGCCATCTTTCAGAGTGGTAGCTGTTCCTTTTCAGTATTTGCATACTTATTGTTTTAGCTGTAATTTTATCTTTTAATTATGTAAGCTGCCTCTTTATACTCATTCTTAGCTTTAAATATTGTCTTTTAACAATATAAACCACCATTGTATACTCATTGTTTTCAGCTTCAAATATTGTTTTTCAATAACTTTCCTTGGGTCCATTTTAAGGAAAAAGGTGGAATAAAAATATGTTAACTAACTAAATAAATAAACATTAGCATTATTGTCACCACTTTCAAAAAATTGCTTTTACAGAGTGGTGGAGGTGCTTCGAAGCAAAGCACCAGCTGGGGCTACAGCAGCTGCCCACCATTTCACCCAGAATACCATTAGCAGGGAAATGAAATGGGTGGGTGGTTGCAGCCATGGTCAAGGAGGGAAATTAAAGCTGACCCAACACTGCCTGCTGTCCCCTTTGGAGCAAGGTGCCTGGCTGGAGGAGGGGTGACCTATCGTGCTGGTGGCCATGGTCTTTGGAGGACATCTTGCCCAAAGCCCCTCAAAACGTATCTCCAGTACTGATAAAATCTTCTGCTTCCTGGTGTTGCCTCCTGTCTCTCACTTGTGGTGATATTGGTTGTGCAACTGGCAGGGGACTGCCACAGCAAGGGGAAGTGTATACAGTGTCCCTTATGCTCCAAACAGGACACTAACCATAATCATGTATTGACTGGATTTGTACCAGTCACTAGAGCATATCTGGGCCCAGTGCAAAGTGTAAGTAAATTTTGGCTCATGACGTCCTTAATTGGAGACATGTTACCTTAAGGACCACCTGAACCTTTATGACCCTACCTGGGCTTTTATTTATTTATTTATTTATTTATTTGTTTGTTTGTTTGTTTGTTTGTTTAATTTATATGCCGCCCACTCTACACAGAGGTCTCTGGGCGGCTTACAATAATTAAAATTCAATACAATAAAAATAAAATGATTAAAATACAATTAAAATACAATTAAAATTGACATCATCAGGACCCACAGTTGATGTTATTTCAATTAAAAGCCTTCTGGAACAGGAAGGTTTTGACCTGGCGCCGAAATGTCATCAACGTCGGTGCCAGACGAATTTCAGTTTAAGATCAGTACTGGAGATCCTATCTAGTGGTAGGCAGTGGTGATCATATCTTTTTGACAGGGCCCTACTTTGTGATGACAGTGGTCTAAATTCTATTCATTACATCAGCCAGCATAATGCCACACCTTTCAGCAGCCAGTTGCCACAAGTTAGGAAATCAGTATAGGCATGTCATATCTCACTCTGAGTTACCGGTGTGCAATAAGGAACACCTACACCAAGTTCTGAGATTGCAGTCGTTTACTGCTGAAAGTTATACTGGTGACATTACAATGAGCCGGTGTATGGAATGCATCATTAAGCTCCTTGGCTGTGGAGAAGGATTTGGAAAGGCTACCTGTTCCGTATGATTTTTATTGACATGCTTTTTTGGTCATACAGCCATTTCCTTGATACAGTACTGTATATAACTGTGATATTTACCACGTAGCCCCTGCTTGTTTCACCAAAAAAGGAGCTTGTGTTACGTTATCGTACCATGTCCTTTACCATGCTGCCACTAGTCGACCTCTTTACCAACTATGTTTCCTGTGAAAGTCTGAAGTCCATTCAGTACTTAACTTTGAAATAAGAACAGGTTTATTGGTTACAAGATGTTTCAGGAATAGTTCTTAAGCACATTCTTAAAGTTACACAAAGTCTTAAGTATTTTCCTTTAACCTCTTCAATACTTAACTAATACAGATCGCACACACACATGCATGCGCATGCGCACACACACACACACAGATGTAACGCGTATATAGACATGTAGATAGTGCTGATCACTGCACAGCACTTTGCAGGCAAAATCTCACGGATCTGTTCTGACTTTGATGCTGTAGTTAATGCAGGTCCTGTAGATGTAACCATGGCTCCTGTTCATCCTGTGTTGATACATACGTTTCAGTTTTTGCATCCTGATGATGTGGACAAGACCCTTGGAGAGATGAAGGCTACCATTTGTCTGCTAGACCTTTGCCCATCCTGACTTATAAAAGCTGCCAGAGAGGGACTGGTCTAGTGGGTCCAAGGGGTAGCGAGTGGCTCCTTGCAGCAAGGTAGAATGCCAGCTTGCTTAAAGGAGGCAGTAGTAAGACAATAATTGAAAAAAAACCCTCCTTGGACCTCATGGTACTGGATAATTACTGGCCAGTCTCTAATATCTCATTCTTGGGCAAGATGCTAGAATGGGTTGCAGCTTCTCAGCTCTGAGGGCTCCTGGATGAGACAGATTATCTAGATCTATTTCAATCTGGCTTTAGGCCTGCTTTGGTCACCTTTATGGATGACCTACGTCAGGAACTTGACAGGGGAGTGTGTCCTCATTGGTTCTGCTGCACCTCTCAGTGACTTTCAATACCATCAACTATGGTATCCTTCTGGGTTGTCTCTCTGGGGTGGGATTTGGAGGTGCTGCTTTACACTGGCCATTGGCCTATGGTGTCCCTCAGAGATCTCTTTTGTCGCCTATGCTATTTAACAGCTACATGAAACTGCTGGGAGAGGTTGTCCAGAATTTGGGGGTTTGGTGTCACCAATATGCAGATGACACCCAACTCTATCTCTCCTTTCTATCTAAATCCATTTCAGCTCTAGATCAGTGCCTGGTGTCAGTAATGGACTGGATGAGGGCAAATAAACTGAAACTTAATCCAAACAAGACAGTGGCGCTCCTGGTTAGTCAAAAGGTAGATCACGGAATAGGGATTCAGTCTGTGCTAGATGGGGTTACACTCCCTCTGAAAACACAGGTGCGCAGCTTGAGGGTGCTCCTGGACTGGTCTCTAAACATGGATGCCTGGGTTTAAGTAGTGGCTAGGAGCACCTTTTCACAGTTAAAACTAGTATGCCAGTTGCATCAATCCCGGGGAGGTCTGATCTAGCCTGGATTACTATAACATGCTCTATGTGGGGCTGCCTCTGGAAAGTGTTCGGAAACTTCAAAGGGTCCAAAATCCTGCAGCCAGATTGTTAACTGGAGCTGGTTACAGTGAACATGTAACACCCCTGTTACAACAGCTCCACTGGCTGCTGATCTGTTTCCAGGCTGAATTCAAAGGGTTAAGGTTAGGGTTGGGTCCAAGCTACCCAAAAGACCACATCTCTCTTTATGAGCCTGCCCGGGCATTAAGATCATCAGGAGAGGCCTTTTTCTTGATCCCTTCACCCTCACAGGTGTGCTTGGTGGGGAGAGGGCCTTCTTCTGTCACTGCTCCCAGACTTTGGAACTCCCTCCCTCTGGCTCCCTCTTTGCTGTCCTTCCCCAGGTAGGCAAAGACCTTTCTCTTCATACAGGCTTTTCTTTAGTGATTGGCAGTCACTGGGAGGGGTTTTGTGACAGAGAGGGATTCTGTGCTCTGTTGCTTTCAAATGTATTCTTAGTATTGATTTTAATTACCATTGTTAATATGGTACTTGTTTAATTCTTTTTTTAATATTTGTACACACTGTTTTTAGCTTTGTATACATATTATCTTTTTAATGATGTGAGCCACCTTGGGTTCTTATGAGGAGAAAAGCAGTGTAAAAATATTTTGAATACATTGATAGTCATGGAGATGACAGAGATATATTTTGCTCTGCCTTTATACAGCCTAAATGGCATTTAGTTGGTTGGTTGCACATTTGAATTTTAACATTCCCAGATAATTGTTGTATTTTCATTTAATTTGTATGTTTTTTACCCCTGTTCTGGTAGATTTGATCTTCTAAAAGCCTGTAAAAGTGGGGCTGACACACCTTTGCCAGTAGGAGCTTGCTCTCTTCGGCTTTGCAACCTGGTAAGCCTGGCATCTTAGAGGCAGGAGAGTTTTTCCTGAGAAGACTGCATAGATTTTCATGCAAAACAGTCTTTCTGGGCTGTTAAGCCAGCAGATCAAATGCAGCAGAATATGGCCCTAGGTAACGTTAGTTAGCTGAATAAACAGAAGGATAAAGTCCAGATTCTTTGTAACTGGGTTAATCACTTATGAGCTTAGGCAAAGGATTTTGCTCCATTTGGGTTTAAATTTTGTTTGCTCTTTGTGGAGGGAGGTATGGTTTAGCACCTTCCAGCTAGAGAGTCAAGGTAAGGAAAATGTGTCAGATATTTCAGGAGAGCAGATTGATCCAAGTTGGAGGGGAGGAGGTATACACACTGTGCCAGAGAGAGCAAGAGCAAGAGAGAGAGAAAGAGAGAGAGAGAGCTTTGACAGCAACAAAAGGGGTGGGAACTGATGGGGAGAAAGCCAAAGATGGGGGTGACATAAAGGAGGGGGAAAAGAGGTGTGGAACCAGCCTGGAAACCTGAGGGCTGCTTTCTACCAGTCTATACTTGCCTATTGTCATTCACAAACCTGATTTAGAAGTTCTGGGACCCATTATATTCAGAGGCTCTGGAGAAGGAAAAAAAAATAAAAGGAAGAAAGAGGCAAGAAAAGTAAGGCAAAACACATGTTCATGGCCATCCCTGTGCATCTTCTTCCTCTTTGCATCAAAATGACTGGAACCTCTTATCCCCTGTTACATGACGGGAGGAGTTAAGAGAAGAACAGGAGGTAGAAAATAAGCACAGTGCCTGGAAGAAATTATAAAGCACGAGGAATCCACTGACTGCTTGTAGAAGGATGGCTTGCCTCCAAGTGTTCCTGCTGCAGCATATTCTCTTGTATCTTGGATCAGTGAAGGTAGGAGATTCTGTCTGCTTAAAAATAAGTCACCTGTTTAGTTGTACAAATGCATGCAGGATGTGTGCCTGTGGAAAAGCAACCCTTGTTGCATGTGCAGATTTCTGGGCATGGAGGGGTGTGTGTGATGATCTTGCCTTCCTGAAGGGAAAAGTGCCTGTGTTTGTGTGGTTTTTTTGCATCATATGAATAAAGCAGAATTCAAAGAAATCCACAAATTGTGCTGGGTTTTGTAGGCTTTTTAAATTATTATTATTATTTCAAGCATCATGATGTCGATTCTCTTCCTGATGTTCATTGATCCCTCAATCATTAATGAAAATGTGGGTCTGGAGGTAGAACCTTAAAGTGTTAATGCCAGAATCGGTAAATGTATAGAAGTGCCTGCTAGTATTTTTTTTCCAATGACACATTGGGAGGAGTAGAGATAATAAATGAAGGTGCTGCCTGCCAGCCATCTGGATTGCAGAATCTCCATTCATGCTGGGCTACAGCAGCATGCACTTAATCAAGCCCAGCCCATGCTGTCTGGCGTGCAAGTACATACCCTGAATGCAAATTTTCTGGCTGGCTCATCCGTTCCAGTGGATTCCCTGTACAACTGTCTGGGATCCTCTGCTTTGATTTCCCCCATCTGTTAGGAAACTAGTTGTTTCTATTATGGAGGGCTCTGAGAAATATAGAACCAAAGTGTAGTGTTATCACAAAGGGCAGCTCAGGAGCACCCTTTTCAGCATGTGCTCCTTTCCTAACTAGTGGCATTATCAAGGACTATCCAGTTTTGATTCCTCTGGATGAGGGGGAAAAAACAGTTCAAAAATAAAAAGCAAACTACATTCACATCTTAACGATAAACAGATTTATTTCAGCATGAACTTTTGTGCATTGTAATCCATTTTTCAGGTGTACAGAGCACTATAGTTGATGGGTGAGAGTGGGGCTGAAGACCCATAGAGTCCTGATAATCTGTTTACTAGTTAAAGTTACAGTATACAAAGAGAGTCTACTGGAAATAAATAAGCATGATGAAGAAGAAGACAACAACAACAACATAACTGCCAATCTTGCATTAGATTCCCAAGGAAAGTAAACTGTGTCACCCTTGGCATTCTCATAGATCTCCTTCCCCACCTCTCTGTCTCTAAATCCACACTGCAGCGTTTCTAGCTGGTTTCCTGCATACCCTAAATTCAGACAGGTGTCATTTTCTAAAGGCTGGAGTGAGTTCAGGCTGGTAAACAGAATTAAATCCCTTCTACAGCCATGATTATCCATGAGTTTTATAGAGAATACAGTAGTGTTGGATTTGTTCATGTTATCAGGTTATGTAAGCCCCACTAAAATTACAGCCCAACGGTGGATGAGTTTGATGCACTTCAAGGGAGGAAAAGAGATATTTTATTCATGCAAAAAAAAATCCAATTTGGCATTTTGGAACACATTACTTTGGTTTTGTTCTGGTAGATAAATCAGGAATGTGGGGTAGGGAGAGACTATTGAGGTGGTCGATGTTGGCATATTTTTATCCTTGGAAAACCTCTGCCCCCAAAGGTGTGGGGAAGGGAATTACTTCCAATGGCAGGTTCCTATTCTAAGATGGACATTCTGCTTCAATATTCATAAACATAAGGGCAGCATTGGTGCCCATCGTGGCTGGGGAATTATGGGAGTTGTAGTTTTTTCTGCATTCTGGATGAAAGACAATCTAGATTGATAAAAGTAGCAAAGAAGTGTGACGTCTTTTAAGAGCATAATAGTATGACATATAATAAACAGAAAAATAAGTACACAAACACTGAAACGGGGAGAAAGGAGACCTCTGCCCTCTGATAGCTGCTCTAGACTAAGGGTGTGACTACACTTTGCTGCAGCTTGATTAGCAACCTATATTACATTTTAAATCACAGTCAGTGCTCAAACAGGGGCTGCAGATTGATTCAAGAGGTCACCATTCACACTGAATGCAATGTGAATCACATTTCGGCCCATATCCACCACTACCTTCTTTCCTCTGGTCCCACCTCTGGCAATCCTCTTATGGAGTGTAAATACAGGAAATACTAATAACAAGCACCCAGCAATAAGATATTGGGGTGATTTAGTGCTTTATGTACAATTTTTAAAAAAGAATAAAAAATTTAGATGATGATCAGGGGAGATGAAAGAATGCCTATGGAGGGTATTCCACTGGTCCTGAACATGATGTCTCAACTGCCAATGTAAGCAAGACACCACCAACAGACTTACCCCGCCCCTGTCTTTACAAGATTATATCATAACTAACCACATGGAGAAAAGTCCCCGCCCCTCAAGCAGCAGAGAAAAAAGCAATTGGGGGGGGGGGAAGGGCTAGACCAGTTCAAATTAGCTTTTGTGTCATGTAGTCAGTAAAAATACTTTGGATTCACCTGTTTCATAAATAGAACAAATCTCATGTCATTTAACCACTGAATCACTGCCTAAGTTGTATTCTCAGACTATTCTGTCTTGAGTCAAATCCCACTGGATATCAACAACTCCCATTAAATCTTCTTTATATTATTACATTTTGATTTCTAGTCTTGTCTTATTTATTTTCTATGGTACGCTGCTATTTGTGAGACACCAAAACCGTTTTCTTCATCTGTCAGTTTTAGAGTGTTTCAGAACAGGGAATAATCCTGCTGCCTAGTGGTAGCTGATGGTGACATTTCAAGGATGCTATGAATCTACTATGAATTTTAGTCTGCACTTTACAGAAGTTGTAAAGTGCAATTAATTGGGGACAGGATTCAGCACCTTGCATACCTCCCACTCTTGAAACTGGAGTCAGAAGCCACCATGTCTCCTGCCATGTCTTCAGCCTCGCTATGCGAGGCACCACTGTAATTGGGAACAGGATTCAGCACCTTACATACCTCCCACTCTTGAAACTGGAGTCAGAAGCCACCATGTCTCCTGCCATGTCTTCAGCTCGCCTCTTTCAGGCGAAGCCTGTTTTCTTTTTGATTAGTGGCTTCATTTTCTCAACTGTAAGAAGGGAACGCAGTTTCTTCCACACCTCCTGAACACCTATGGCTGCATTCTTCTTTGAAAACTTCTTGCGCTTGCCTTCACCCTCAACCATAAACTCGCCGACAGGTACTTTAGTCACAAAGCTCTTCATATGAGGGGGACCACTTTCCCAGGTCACCTCCAAATTCACAGGCAAGTTTCCCTTATGTGCCATCTCAAACCCTTGGCGTATTTCAGATTCATTGAGACTTTCATCATCTGGATTCTCAGACAAGGGCTCGCTTTGCAGGATTTTCAGTGCTTTTGCAGCTGCATATTGAGCCTTCTTTAAGTTTGTTAACGGAGCATCTTCATGTAAAGGTAGAAACTTCCACAAATCAGCCCCATTGACAAATACATCTTTGTGTGCCTTTTCTATAATCTTTTAACTGTATTTAACAGGGACAATTAGCTGTTTGTGGGGTCCTCCCTCCCCATGAGGAGTCATTAAAACCTCTCTATATGATAAATCTTTTTCCACACAATATCTTTCTGGGTGTTCAGGGGTCCGTGGAATGGGATTCTCATTAACTTTTCCAAAGCAATCATTTAAGGTAATATCTTCCTTCTGCTCCTTGATAAAGGAGGATCTATTAGGATTTCTCATTAGCACTAAATCAGCTGTCTCTCTCATTTCAGGATGTTCACCTAAAATGGGTCATAACACATGTATTGTGTGGGGACTTTGTTTAAAATGGGAGAAAAATGAAAAAATATATCACAAAATAAAACTATTTTTGTTATGGCTAAACGTTAATCTAATCAAGACATCACCAGGTTAATGAATTATCTGAATTAAGCTAAAAATAACTGTTTGTCCCAAGGCACGTTTTCAACCATCAGTCAAAACAAGCAGGATCATTGGGAGGTGCATAAATTCTGCGCAGCACATACATGTGAATAAGTTGCAGTAAAATCAATGAATAATATTGTGGCATCTTAAAGACAAAGGAGCTTTTATTTAGTTTAAGATTTCATGGACAGCTTTGCACTTCAATGGACAAGGGACAGAATCCTATTAGAAATTTACACATGTGGAAGCCAAATTGTGTAAATTATGGTGGCAAAGTGCCATTCATTAATGAGATCCTGGTTGTGTTCTTGGGCATGTGTCTGATTGCGTGATTCAGTATGTACCTGGGAACAACGAGCATCTTGTCGGTGAGCAATATTTTGCGACCGCAACGTACCTTATTTCCCTTACACAGATGTAAATCTGCAATAGAATTCTGGACCTGAAATGTTACATCAGTAGGCATATTTTAAAACACAAGTAGATATATGAGGATGAAATGCATTAAGAATTCAAAACATGCCACCACAGTGATGATCTCAACAGTGATCATTGAGTCAGTCAACTGTAATAGGTAGGTGACAAATACAGACAAAGACAGATAGGCAAACTGATCCTAATATGATGAAAAGTCTTTATCAAGCCAAGTGTGAGAACAGTTTGGTCTCCAAATATATACTTGTTAAGGAACAAGTGGAATCAGAAAGACTAGAGGCAATAGGAATACAGAAATTACAATTAAAGAACATTGCCCAAAACCATCATAAAAGTTACAAACATGGGCTGGTATTAATAATGCAGACAACTTCGCCAAGATGAGCTGATTAAGAAATGCAATAAGATTCAAATCCTCTGTCCAGATTTAAGCTGCAGGAGATAGAGCTCAACTTTTGATGTATTCTTGGTGATGTATTCTTTCCCTTTGGAATATGTTTCTGATTTTTTTTGTTCTTGAAAAATGGCTGCTTTAAGATCAGATGACTAGAAAATGATGTTGCTGGTTGCCTTATTACATCCTGTAATCATATTTCCAGTATAGCCACAAAGACATGGCAGGCATCTGGATCTCCAACAAGATCTGGTTCATGAATCGGTAGTTTTGTTGTGAGATCTATTGTTGTAGATAAGTAATCTTTTCAAGCTGAGGGCCCGCTATACAGAAGTAGAGTCCTGCCACCTGGAGTGCATGAGAAAGAAGTGTCATTGTCTAAACTGGGCTGTACTTTGCTGGTGATACATTTGAATAGTTTTAGCTGAAAACTGGACGGCCACATAGTATTCTGCTGTTCTCCAATCACAGTTAGTGACAAGAAATAAGAACGGGGATTTCCTGCATAGTGCTAGAAGTAAAACAAGCAGGGCCTCCAAAAGCAGGGGGTAGACTGGATGGGACCTCCACGCCCCCAGTGAGCCAGAATTTCCCCATCTCTGTTTATGGACTACATAATCCCTCTGCTTTTCCTCTTCTTTCTCTCTTTTTTTCCCCACAGGCTTTCTTAGGATCTCAGCCCAGTCAAAATAATTGGGAGAATGCAGGTAAAAATACGAAGTTGGACATCATTTTCCTCCTTTCTAATCTGGGCCTCATTACAGTATTCCTTACAATACCTAATTTTGGTTCCATGTTTATCGATTTGGAAGCAAAAGGGGGGATAGCTCAATGTAAAGAGATCAGTTCCTCAGGTATTCACTTGATTTTTTAAAAAGGAAAAATAAGACTTGAAATGGTACAATAAACCCATACATTCATTGACTTCCAAGTAGGATGCCCACTGCCAGAAAAGAGGACAGAGGGTAAAAGGAACACCAAACAATCTTCACTAAAAAGGAATTATTTGCATTAAATTAGAATACGTTCATTTAAACTACTTCAAACTAATATAGGCTGTTTCTTAAAAGTGCAAGCCTCTGTGGTCTGTGGGGGTGAAAGATGCTATTTCCCTTAACTCCCACCAACAGAATGATCCTTAGAACCATGTAGGGATCTGATATGGGGAAGTGGCGTTGTTCCCACTTGCTCCGATAACGATCTGAAACAATGCTGCCTGGTGTCATTGTGTCATTCCAAGGGAAGCACTGTCAGCAGGCATGCTGCTTCCTAAGCTGCCCAGTTGGATGGATGTTCTTTCTAAACCAGACCGGTGCAAAAAGCAGAGGTGGGGCGGGGTTGCTACTAACCCCACTGCTTTACCCACTACACCTCTGCCTCCCCTGTTTAAAAGGTTTTGTCCCAAAGTGAAATAACCAAATAGACGCCCCACTTTGTAATGGGGTTTTGAGCTCATTTCTTGTGGTTGAGGAAGAGCCCCCAAGAGTTCCTTTGCAGCTCATAAATTTGTTCAAGCTTTTCATGAGCAGGCCGCTTAAGCTTACCTCTTGGCCTGTGCTTCCAGCCTCTGCTGCATGTGAGATGGACCCCTTTGGATATTACAACGGGTCACTGGCTGTGACGGTCTCTGGGTCGCCGTGCTTGAACTGGTCAGACTTCCCTGATTATATTCAGCAGTATCCGAATCGAGGTTTAGGGAATCACAACTACTGCAGGAATCCGGATGGTGAGGCAGTGCCATGGTGTTTCAACACACTTCCCACCGGAGCTGTTGGCTGGGCCAGCTGTGACTGTAGTCAGGGTAAGTATCAGATGCAACACTTGATATTGCCATTAAAGAGAAACTACCAGTATAATGTGCTAAGATGAAAGGAATGATCCTAGGGTTTAAAATGTTATGTACTCTTTCGTTATGGTGTTGAATTAGTACCTCAGAGAGGAGGTTTCAAATCCCAACTCAGCTGTGGACTTTGACTTTGACTAATCACTACCTCACACAGCATTGTTATGATATAATAAAGTGAGGGAGACCTGTCTATAGTGCCCTGAACTCCATGAAAGAAGAATGAGACATTAACATCATAAACGAATAAGTGTCACAGAAAGGCCTAAGAAGAAGCAAGGTTTCTTTTTATTTTGAAGAATGAGTAAAACACGACCCTTCTGCTGGTAAGTCTGGGATAAATTAAGTTAGATTCCCTGCTGTCTGGTCCACTGATCAGTTTGCACCCGCCTGCCTTTTTAGGCAAAATATGTCAAGTCAAAGTTAGTGTGAAGAGATTTACAGTATTCCCCCATTCCTGCAGAACTGCCTCGGTCATCATGGCTGTCAGAAGGGGGGGGGAGGCAGGAGGCCAGATTCTAATCATCTCCTTTGTGAAGGATGATTGCCTTCGAACACCATTGACCTTTTGGACAGTCCTGCAGATGTGATTCTTGTATCCATTTTGACAGGTGCTGTGCGACTAAAGGAGGGTGGCAGAGTGGAGTTATATTTCAGTGGCATGTGGGGCACTATCTGTGGGGATCAGTGGACAGACTGGGATGCCAGTGTGATCTGCAGACAGCTGGGACTCAGGTAAGAACAGTTTGTGGAGGTGGGTCAGGGGAAGGTATTGCCAATTTCTGAACAATGGTCAACATTTTATCGGATGCTAGAATTTCCTTGATACGATTCAATAGGATTGCAAGCATACACAGCGTTTTCCTTGTTCATGTGGGGCACTATCTGTGGGGATCAGTGGACAGACTGGGATGCCAGTGTGATCTGCAGACAGCTGGGACTCAGGTAAGAACAGTTTGTGAAGGTGGGTCAGGGGAAGGCATTGCCCATTTCTGAACAGCAATCACATTTTTTATCGGATGCTAGAATTTCCTTGATACGATTCAATATGATTGCAAGCATACACAGCATTTTCCTTGTTCATACACAAACACATTTAAGGGCAAAGTCAGATACGATCTTTCAGAGGTCTATGATCAAATCTGCTCCATTTGTGATAAATTCAAGTACAAGTAGTGTGATTAGTTTGCAGATTTATTTTATTTATTAATTTAAAATATTTTTTCTCTGCCTTACCCTGTAAGGGCTGCTTACACTATTGAGACAAAGCTTTATTTATTTATTTAAAATATTTTCCCCTCCCTTACCCTGTAAGGGCTGCTTACACCATTGAGACACAGCAAAGCTAACAACGGGGAGTATACAAATACTAAAAAGGAACAAATAAATGTCATACTTAAAAAAACAATAAATAAAAGCAACACCAAAACACATTCTGTGGTTGTGAGATGAACTGTAAAACTGCTAATATGTATCATTTGCAATTTTACTTTTACTATGGTCAGCAATAAATATCTATAATTGTTTCTGTGTTTTAAGTGTAAACAGCTATGAACAAAGAAATTGGATTGGGAATATGGACTGTTCTCATTATTGCTTTTAATCCTTCCCACCTGCAGTGTTTCCTGAATTTAAAATTTATCTTGTCGTCTCTAAATGCATTATTTTTGTTATCAGAAGGAAACATAGGTATTCATAAAGTAGCAGCTTTAGGTTCAGAAGTAGAGAAAATAATAGTAGCTTCAGCTCAGGAAATGGTGGAGGAGGAAGAGAGGAAGCCTACTGGTAACTTGATTGCAAGAATTATTTGATCCCAAGGTAGGTTGACCATCACCGTCCTATCTTGTTTTCCTCCTGTGTAGGTGTAGCCTCCAAAGTATGAATGCTAAGCTCCAGAAAGAAGAGGCAGTAGGACCACAATGCTGGCTGACACATGATCAGGCCAAGATCAGGGTAGTCCGTGAATTTGCCACACCTCTAAGCTAAGATGTTTTTGGATTTAGCATCATTTCAGCTAGCTTGCTGTTTGTTCAGATGGCTCTTGGTAATCTTGGCCTCTCAGACTGCTGTCTTCTACCAGCACCACAGAAGAACCATTAGGGTGGGCAGGATCCCCTTGAGCTGCAGATTGACAATGATAATAGATTGATGGATAGATCCAATACCAACAAGATGGCCAAAGGAAACGAAAGTCTCACCTTGCCTGTGATTGTCAGGGAGGGTATAACATTTTCTGGTTTCTCACACAGTATGATTGGCACAGCCCAAAAGCAGAGCCATTCTGGCCTGGACTCACTACCCATCCACTTGCAGTCTGCCAATTGTAGAGGGAATGAGAAGATGCTGTTGCAGTGCAGTTACCAAAAGATGTTCAGCACCTGCCTCCAGGGAGCTGCGGTGGCAAACTGTGTTCCACCTCAAGGTAAAATTGAAAACAAACACAACTAGATGACCAAAATGACAAGCAAGAGGCAATGTGTTTTTAAAAGATGAAAAGGGCATAACACAGACCTTTTGCCATTTTATTGTCTCTGTTCAGAGAGTTTTTTGAAGCTTTACAAAGATCTGCAGAATCTGTTCACCAAAGATACCAATGGATTGTAATGAATTACTTACAGGCCAAAAGACTCTTGTGCATCTCTGCCTGCACAATAAGAATGACACAATTGTCAGAGGCATATTGCTGCTAATTAAATGCTACACTCTCTCTTTTTTTCAGGATGTGCCCAACTCTTATGCAATGAAATGAAGTCAGGTGCACTCCAAAATTGGTGAAGGAAATCTTAAATCAGCAGCATTCTGCAGCTGACAATAGTCTCATTTCTGTTGTGCAAACTATTTTAGTCACACCTAAACTATTTTAGTCACTACTTAATTAGTTACATTTATGTCTCACTTTTGGTCCAATGAAAGGTGATGTACATGCTTCTCTTCTTTCCCACTTCTTTCCCACATATCCCTGTGAGGTAGGTCAACCTGAGTGAGATTGACTATCCCAAGGTTACCTCTGAATTTCCTGGCTCAGTAGAGACTTGTATGTGGACCTCCCAAGTGCAATGATGTCTTCATGTCACTTTTAGCTCTGTGGAATACACGGAAAATATACGTCTCACTTTTGTTGCAATCATTAAAGGCCCTAAAGAGGTGTGATAGGGCAGCTATCCCTATCACATTCAATATTCTCTATTACCTCATTTGTGTATTTGATGGAGTGGAAGTGCAAAGTCAGAAAATACATGTACATGATGCAGGCAGGTTTAAACTGTGCCCCGTTGTCTCCCTGTATTCCAACTCTCCCAAACTGCTCTTATATTGAAAATTAACAGCACAGTGCCAAGGGGTAAGACAAGGCAGGGTTCTGTTGCTCCCATCATTTAAAGATCGGAGCTGGCAGACTTTGTCTCCGTGACACTGTTGGAATCCCCGAGGCTTCTGGTCTTGGGTGATTTCAGCATCCATGCAGAGGTTTCTGTTCCAGCTCTTGAGTTCTTGGAAACCATGGCTTCCTTGGACATGTCTCAACATGTTAGCAGCTCCACCCATGTGGGTGGTCACACGATAGACCTGGAGTTCTCCACTGACCAGAGTGAATGTGGTCTGATGGTAACTGACCTTGTGTCAGTTCCCTTGTCATGGTCAGATCACCACCTAATAAAATGCAACCTCTCAGTGGCTCTCCCTCCTCGTAGGGAGCAAAGACCTATTTTAATGGTCTGCCCTCGAAGGCTACTGGATACTGTAGTACAGTGGTGCCTCGCATAGCGAGGTTAATCCGTTCTGGATTAACCTTCGCTATAGCGAAACATCGCTGAACAGGACAGGGAAAGCCATTGGAATGCATTAAACATCGTTTAATGCGTTCCAAAAGGCTCCTTTACTCACCGTTCAGTGAAGTTTCCTGTGGCCGGCAGCCATTCTCGCGCCCTCGTTAAGCGAGGGGAGGGCGCGAAAACGCTGCGCGCGGCCGTTTTGGGGCTTCCGGCGGCCATTTTGTCCGCCGAACAGCTGATCGTCGGAGCTTTGTTTTGCGAAGATCGGTAAGTGAAATACTCGTTAAGCGAGGCGCCACTGTATTCCAGGACTCCATGAGAGGGATTCCAGCTGATCTGACTGGCCCTCCTGTCGAGGCTCTGGTCAATGGTTGGCTTGCCACCAGGGCTGTTGACACAATCGCTCCTGAATGCGCTCTCCACTGCAGAGCTTGTCCAGCGCCCTGGTTTAACCAGGAACTGTGAGCTATGAAACAAAACAGGAGAAGGCTAGAGTGCAATTGGAGACGGAACCTGATGGATTATAATCGGAAAGTTGTCAGGATCGTGACTAACCATTACCTTACTAAGGTGAGGGCTGCCAGTCAAGCTCACTTTGCTGTCTGGATAAGCAAAGCTTCAAATCAGCAGGCAGATCTTTTCCATATAGTCCGTGATCTATCCAGAACTGGTCTAAGTGATAGGCCTCCTACTAGTATTTCACCTGACCAATTTGCAGCATTTTTAAAATCTAAAGTGGAGGCCACCCACCGGGAGTTCTTTCCTTTTTTGAATACAGTAGATTGAGCAGAGACGTCCAGCGCTCCCTTTTGCCCAATGAGACTGTTTCAGCTGTGATGCCAGATATGGTGGGCAAAGTGATTGACTGCTGTCATGCCAGCACCTCCTCCCTTTACCGTTGCTCAGCCTGGCTAATCAAAGCAGCCAGGCCTATAACAACCAAA